TTTTGGAATTGTAGTAAATATACCATACTATGAAATAGTTGGGAAATTATCATTGAAGTGACAATATAGAAATGACAACAAAATTGTGTTCCAAAGCATTCCAATAAAATAATTTCACTAAAGCTACAGGAAGCAGTTAAAAAATGATCCTAAAATAGGTTTATAAACTTCATAGAAGAGTGCTGCTACAAAACAATTCACTTTTATAGGAGAATATATTTCATAAGTTATTTATAAAACACTTTTATTGTCTACAACTGTATTGTGTTCACTGATCATCTAATATAATCAATTAGCATTCAGAAAGTAATTATAAAATACTAATAAAATAAAACTGTTGCAACACCACGAAATTATAAAACAATTTTGCTGGTTGGGATGGGGTTTGAACGTCATTTTGATTGCATTTGTTGTTTCCGGTTCCGATTGCTTGATTCCATATAGACAATTTATGGGATTATTGTTCCGGAAGAGAGTCAATTCATGACATTTGTATATATTCACTTGCAATGAGTTAATATCACCCTAGCGTACAAGGTAAGAGAGAGCGTACTGTAATAATTCAACATCATATGGGTCATATAGCATTCGTCTCCTATCAAGGCAGTGCTGTTTGGTGGTCAGTAGCACGCCTTGACATAAAGTGTGATGGATACGTCGTATACGCAAAGCGTTTAGCTTGTACAACAACAAATTGTGATTTAAAAGGTTGGATGCCTTTGAAGTGTCTGTGTAAATAGATTCAACATGGTATTTATTTTTGAATGCATTTATCATAAAGTGATGAGGAATGAGCAGATGTGTACTGGTAGATCTACCACGACTGAACCCATGTTGCTGATTCATGACTACATGTCTACAATTCCATGATACCTTCTCTGTTATTATAGTCTATTTCAAAAGAGTGTAGAGTAATAAATCATGAAGTGTCATAAAATTTGCCTGAATTTCGTTGTCGTCCATGGGCGTAGGCAAATCTTAGGATTATTAAACTTAATAATTAAAGTAAATTAAAAATTACAGACATAGATAATAATAAAAGGCCATTTTTGGGAAGTAATTTGGTCTAAAACTAAGTACCTACATGTATTTAGGTAAGTAAAATTTCTTAAAAAAAGATTAAGATTAATTTTAGTGGTTCTTGTAAACTTATTTAATATGCAATTTGGGTTCATATACTTGAGCATGATTTCTCAAAAAAGGGTTAACACTTAGTTCCGAGGTGCCATGTCATTATAATAATCCCTTTTTGACCCTGCCCACCAATCATGCAATACCTATTAAAC